TCAAACCTTGGCTTGTAATATGTTTGAATACTTACACATCAAATTCTCGCTGCCATGATATAAAATGGCCATAATGACCATAGTTGGCGTTCAGACCCAAGAACTCAAGCAGACAGATTTTATCATATACCTCCAAAGAAATAATAACGTTTCAAGGTGGTTTTACTTTCAATCATTAACCAAAAACTGAAAGGTCGTGTGGACTGAACCATTAAGATTTAAGATAAAGTTTAATGGATGTGCATAAAATGAAAAATTGTAAATATTTTATTAGTACTAAAGCTATATATCAGCACTAAAGCTATATATCAGCACTACAGCTATATATATCTGTTGAAATATGTTTACTCTAGATTAACTAAATATTATTTTACAGTGTTAAGTATTTTCTTTTTACATGGAGTTAGCCCCATCGTAACCATAAATTCCCATGTGAAGTGCCATTTTAATTACCTATTATAAGAAGAGTACTGAGGGTATTGACGACTAGAAAGTAAAACATGCAATGTTAAAATGGTAACTGATTATGTATGTAATTTAGGATTCCTGTCTGTCATTTGATGGGCGCAAACTTTTTCCCCCCATTTTTTTCTACCATAAAAACATTTCAGTAAGTAAAATCAGTATCATCAGTAAAATGTTTCATCGGTACCAAATGTGTCAAGTTATTTGTTTATACTGTAAGGCACCTCTGCAAAGAGCAATGCAGACAATGGGGATCATCAACTGTTAAAGCGAGCTTGGGCTTTGACTCTCCCACATTCACATAAATAGACTGGTGAGACCAGCCCATGGTAAAATGAGAATTTCACTGCGCATTTCCACAACGATCCTTAACACAAAGGTCAATGCATGTGAACACTGTACGTTGTGGTTCGCTGTATTTGAGAAATGGTGCAGGTACAATATTTTGTGATTGGTAGTGCATTGACAGTTCAATGAAAATAATTGGCTGCCTTAACGCAACATACATTAATGCAAAAAAATAACATGCAGTTATGCATATGCGTTAAGAACTGCATCACTGTAAATTGGCTACTATTGGCTGGGGCTACTATTAGGATGGGGCTACTATTAGGATGGGGCTACTTCCAATGTATGTCTACTCTCAATTTATTACCTGTTATGGTCTCAGTATGGACACCCTTTTAACTTTGAGATAAGGATCATGCTGAGGCATGGCCTTGTTGCTTCAAATGTATTTGCAAATGTGTGCAATAAATACCTCTTTTTGATTTAAATGTTGGAAGCAGTTTAAATGCCTTCTTTGCCGGTTAGCTGGGAAATGGGTTTGTCATTTATTACTGTAGTTTGCCCCATACTACATGCACCAGTCGTTTGCTAGCTATAAAATGACCTAGAGTACAACTGAAGCTAAAACTTTTTTTTTTAGTTTTGCATAGAGTGGAGAGGGATTAGAACACATGTCCTGTTTATATTGCTGTCTGTATCTCTAAGAAGATTCATTCTCTCCATTTGTCCTGGTGACCATTATCACTAAGTAAGAGTGAAAGAAAATTCAAAATTATGGGTTGTCATCAGAACAGGAATAGATGGGAAATCTTCCAATAGGGACACAAGTTTTGGTAACCCTGCTGAACACCAGGGATTTGTCTCGCTTGGAGGGATTACCTCTCACGTCCCGTTGTGGCTAGCTGACAGAAAGTAAAGGGAAAAAAGTTTTAGATTCAGATCAAATTTTGGTGACTGCCATTTGATCAGTTGCCCCAGGTGTGCAGGTATTTTTTGTAAGCAGCAAATATAAATTTGGTAGGGCAACAGTTTATTGTGAGGTTCCCCAGCCTTGTCTTGGATCTGCTGTAGGCTTAAACACCACAACCTTAGTTCATATACAATGCAATAAAAATACTGAATACTATGCTTTGTCAAGAGTTGTAAATATAATGTATCAATTCATTGAATTATATTTATAGTAAAAAATGAATAGGAAATGTCTTATGAAGAGGGAATATTACTGAATTGCCAGAAACTGCTAAATGCAAGTATAGAATTGATGGTGTAACTATATGGGGTAACTACACATGTGCTGCTATGGGGCTACATCTACTACAGGCCAGCCTCTCTGAAATTAAACCTTTAATTAAACCAATGCCTTCTCCCAAAGTGCCTCCCCTGTTTAAACCTGATAAAACAGCTGAGGTTTGTAGTTCTGCAAAAAAGACAGTTTAAAGGAGAAGTACTGGGAGAGTAAAAGCTACTGTGCCCACAATTTAGAGCCGGTGTGGGGCACTGCAGCTGTCACATGCCATCTCCATACAGAGAGCAGCTTATAGTCTCCTCCCTACAGAGAGCAGCTACTGTCAGACATTGCTTCCTGCAAGGATTCCCCACTCCCCTCTCTGTTCCTCTAGCACTCGTTGGAGGGACAGATAGGGGAAGTGATGTGCATTGCTGGCTCTGGCTCTATAGAGGCAAAGATAGCTGTCACTTAGGTAGGCGACACTATTATTAGGATCCTTGCTGGCTGCAGCGTGGCTCTGTGCTGTGTGACCAAAATGAGAAGTAAACCAAAAAAAAGGTTTGGCATTGCTTACCTTTTAATTAAAGTGCACCTGTGAACAGACTATGGACATTCAATTATTTTTAGAATCTTAACAATCTCTAAAACAAGCAATCCCTAACCTCTCCAGCTGCTTGTATTGTGGAGTAATGAGGTCTCAAAGCTCCCCAAAGATCACAACAGTGCTTTCTAAGACCTTAGAAACACCTGCTGTGTGTATACAATCGAGGGCGGCAGGCTGCCAATATTTTGCTCTCCATATAAAAAAGCTAAGGTTTCAGTGAGTCTATTGTGAAATGTAAAACAAATGACAAACGCACTCAACAATTCATCACCAGCTATACAGTAAGGTGCACACGAAATGGGCTTTGAACAGTAAAACAGTAGAAAGGTATCATGGCACACTCACAAACCAGCATGTAAAACAACTTGTCTCACCACTAAGGTTAATAACAGAGGTTTGGATACACGTCTCAGCTGCCATTGGGATGTGCGGGATCCCTTGTGTGTTCCTGTACCTTTTAAGGAGGTTGGGCTTCCTCCTGACAAACCTGCACCCAATTTGAAACCTTCTGCCCCCATGTGCTCCAAGATGGAGACTCTCATAGTTTAGAGTTAGGACCGCACTATAAGAGGTGCCTTGGCGCGGCAGTGCGGCTTTCACATTTTCTGCAGAAGACGTGTATCCAAACCTCTGTTTTTATCCTTAGTGGTGAGACAAGTTGTTTTACATGCTGGTTTGTGAGTGTGCCATGATACCTTTCTACTGTTTTATTGTGAAATGTATACACAAAGTCTATGTCCAGGTAAATGAGGGCTTGTTTAAATGTGTTATTACCGCTGGTTCAGAATATGTAAATACTTTTGCGTGCATAGTTTAGGCACAATTCCTCCATAAAGAAATTTTAGGGTTATAGAATAATTGTGTGTAAGCCTGGTGTTTATTATTTTTACTACAATTTGCTATTAGTCGTCTGGGTTGAGCTTAGGTATCATACTCACCCATCCAGCGAATACAACATTGTCTTGCTGTGATCCACTCATCCCCCACCACACGTCAGGTCCCATTCCTTGAAAAAGATTCGGTGCATGCACAGACATACCACTGGTCTCTTCCAGGTCCTATAGACCTGACAGACATTGGCAGTGTGCCTGCGCATGTGCTGAATCCACACATGTGCAGACCACAGTGGGCCTCTGGCCTGTCCCATAGACCTGGCAGAGACTTGCGGCATGTCTGCAAAGCACCAGATCAGCCACACATGTGCAGACCCCTGTGGTTCTCTGCCAGGTCTGTGACCTGACAGAGACCTGTGTCGGTCAGCACATGCATGGAGTCTGGGTGGGAATCCGTGCATGTGCAGGCAGTAAGCGGGGCCAGCTAATTCATCCTTGCCAAAGCAAGGATTAAGCAAATTTAAAAGAAAAAAAGTAATCTTCAATTCAATTTTTGTCAGAGGGAGATGGGAGGAGGCAGGTGAGGGTTAGCTTTATAAATAGGTGAAGGTCTGCTTCCCCCATTTTCAGAAAAGTCAAGGGGAGGGTGAGGCATTCTCAAACTCAGTGCTTGTGGGGTTAGTTTCAAAATTATTTACACCTGCAATGTAGCCATTTAGAAAATGCTTTGTAAAGCTGCCCATACACCTTGCAATCATCGGACGACACTTTTCGTCCCATGATCGATTTTCGTACAGCGGCCCCATCCTGCCTCGATTATCGCAAGGTTGGATCAGCGGTAATGAGGAGAATGCACCTGGACGAATTGCAGTAAGCGACCGCACATATATTTGTCTGCACATGTGCAGAGTAGATTGTATGAATTTTGGCATACGGAAACGACACCAACCTTGCGAAAATCGGACAAGCGACCAAAGTTTTCTAACCTGCTGGTTAGTCAAAAGTCGATCGATTGTACAGTATTTGCAGTTGTACACTGCCCATCAACCCTACGAATATCGGACGTAAACGCGATTGCATACGAAAATCGGCCTATATTCGTAAGGTGTATGGACACCTTTATCCAACTGCAATAGTGTTTTTTTCCTATGAAAATGGCATCCCTACATGATTTATTTTTTACAAATTTCAGTTTCTGGTCAAGCATCTGTCCCTGATAAGTTGCCTGGATACAGAATAGAAACACATGCACAGGTTTGGGAGAGAGATTCATGTTTAATCCACTCCCAATGCTCTGTAATTGTATTAGTGCTGTACATGAGAGATGGACCGTGTCGGTGACTGTATTGTTCTCATTTACAGGAGTTTTTGCACACTGGTCACAGACTTTCCCCTCCTTTCTTGCATGGGTAGAGTAAACTGCAAGCGATTTCAAATGCAAAGCCTTGGATTTACATAAAACAAATATATTTCACATCCTGAGCATCAGAAATAAATATTTATGTAAACTGATGTGGCTGCAGATCATTTTTAAACATCTACAACTAATGTAATTGATAATAAGAATATATCTTTTTTCTAGAATGTAGAGGGAGCAAAGTGGTCTGCATTTTACAAGAATGCCAGCGACTTCTCTGAAAGATACCCAGTAGACCAAATAACAGATGAAATGTTGAAATTAGAGCTTATCTATCTCGGACAAAAGGGATCATCTGCTCTACCAAGTGATGAGTACACAAGAGTAAGTATGAGAAAGATGCTTTGTAGACCTGTCTCCCTAAACACCATACTGACCTAAACTTCACAAATATTAACCAATCTAAAGCGGAACTCTGGGATAGAAAAACAAAAAGCATTGCAGTGCCCCAAATGAGGGCCCATTTGCACTGCTGTATGTGCATTGTGGTGTCAATTATTGTGAATGGCACCCGAACGCACTGTGCACAGCAGTACACCAAAATGCACCGTGCATTGTGGTGCGCTGCATTGCTAAAAAAAAAGTGTCATATGCATTATTTGATCCATTGTGGTATAGTGGCAGGCCCATTCATATTGAATGGGCTGCTTTAATACAATGTGCGTCACCGATCCCGAACAGATCACTAAAGTGTAAATCTGTTGCGTGATGAGAAATCCCACATTTTACAGCTGTCACCAAAACAGGAGGTGAGGGAAAATGTGGGAGTTGGGACAACTATTCCTGTGGACACTGCCTAGGAAAGGATTTTCTTGTATTTAGTTGTGTCCCTGCAGGACAGGAAATGTCATTAATGGGGCACATGCTGGAATAAAACGAGCAGGGGCTCTAACCATTTTGCCTTTAGACATGCTTTCAATGTATTTTAGCAGACCGACACAGGTATATAATATCTACACTAATGTTTTACAGCTAAATCAAATCCTAAATGATATGAGCATGATCTACAGCACAGAAACTGTATGCAGCCCAAATGGAACAATATGCCTGCCCTTTGAACCAGGTATTGTATGTGGCAAATTGTTTTCTGGCACTGAATCTTTAGGTTTAAGAAGAAAGTATAAAGTATTCTCACTGTGCGCACATATTTAGTTCTTCATTTTTCATTTTGTAGGTGTTTTCATATTTTCACATGCTTAATCTACCATCTTTGTGTTGTACTACATATGGAGATGTGTAGGGAAGCCACTAGAGGGGGCTCTCAGAAGCTCATTGCATTTCATCACTCCCTTTCTTTGCAAAGACTAAGGGGTCTATTCACAAAGCTGCCGAGGGCAGCCGAGTGAATGACCGATTAGAAGTGAAGTGAGCCGAACAATGCCGAAGCTATCCGAAGGATCGGCGGAAGCTACGGCCAGATCCTTCGGCAGCTTTGTGAATAGACCCCTAAGGGGACCATTCACAAAAGGGTGAAGAGTTTGGAGAAGGCAGGAGAAGTGAGCAATCTAGGCCAGAATAGCTAATTTGAAAAAATTCTCCAATTCAGCTCACTTTCCAGTTCAGCTATGTTGTCCTAGATTGTTCACTTCTCCTGCCTTCTCCAAACTCTTCACCCTTTTGTGAATAACCCTGTAAATTACATTACAATTAGGTGTGTATTGTTTTTAGGGATATGTTTTGATCCACCAAGGATTCTGGGAATCATATTTGAAATTCAGCAAACCCAAACTTAGCAGCAAATCCTACTGAAATCTATTGGAGGGAAATCCTATTAATACATTTTTTAGGCTAGCAGGCAAACTACTGTCAAAAAAGTAATGGGAAGCTGAGCACTGCCATGGGGGCCATGTGCCAATGCAAAACTATTTTTTAATAAACACAGTACAGTGGGGAGAGGGTCTGTAGATGGGTAATAGATATCAAACTCTCATTAAAAGTTAGGAGGCACAGATTATACAGCAGTGTAAAATTGTCCAGCAGTAGAACTATTTTAAATAGAAAGGCTAGACCCAAAGATCAAAGGTTGGGGCTTTACTATAACATTTAGGATACTGCAAATGATGTAGCAATATAAAATTGGCCAGCAGCAGGACATTTTTTAAGAGGTAATATGCCTAACTGGCATGTGCCCTACTTTTATGTATGGGAAGAGGGGGGTGCAGTGAATGTGAGTAATATCATCTGAAGTAGTTTAGGTGCACGCAGTTTTTGCAGTTATTTTTTGTTCTTTCAATGTTGCAGTGTGCTGTGAACAAAAAGCAGCTCCAAGACAAGATAGTCAGCAACAAGTAATTACTGCAATTTGAGCGCCCCAAACTCAAAAAGGGGCTCTATTATCATATAATAAAAGTTAACAAAAATACCAAATAAATAACGGTCCTGAAAAAAAAAATTACTTTTTTTAAGGGAGGCTTTGCTGCACAAATTCAAACTTAAAATAAAGGCCCTATCAACATAAAATAATAAACAATATACCCCCAAAATCAATAAATCCTAAAATACCTGAAACTAAAAGAAGCCTTGCAGCAAAAAAAAAACAAAGTTTGCTATGGATGGAATAGCAGCTGAAATTAAACACTGACCACAGATTAACCACAAAATAAAATAAAGTGACACTAAACTCAGGTAATAAATCTTAAAAATACATTCAAGTACCCCAATTATTAACAAAAAAAATATCCTATTTGTGTATCACTCGGCTGTAGATCTTCAAATCATCTCTGAATTGGTGCTGACACTGTCCTTCCTTCTGGAGGGTGGCTCTTTTGTTCACCATGGTCCCTGTGTGTGTTGTAGTCACCGCTCCAAGCTCACTCCCGTGATGGACTACAATCTCAATAAAAATTAGTAAACGAGATTGTAGTTCATTAGACTGTTGTTAGGATTCTAAATTGTTTTCCCCACCCTATACAGTCTTTTTGGATTCTGTGGCCAATATGGACATTATTCTCCAGATCCTTTGCAAGTCATACGTATCCTTTAGTAAAGGGATGAGCTGGCTCCTTCTTGAGGAAGTATAATATACTGATGTTAGGGTTTTATTCAACGTTAGAATAGCTGACCTTTAATATTGTAGCTAGCAGTTGTTTTCCACGTCGCAGTTATGGTAACATAACACAATTCAGACACATTGGCTTTTTTAGTAAGATAGAGGAAAGTTTAATGATTATGTGCAAAGTACAATAGCCTATACCAACAAGTCAGAAGGAGTAATTTATTTGAATGCTCTGGTCTGCTGATCATGGTTAAAGTTGAACAGGCAAACCGCTAAATTGCTACCAAAGGATTTGTACCTCTCTCCACCCAGTTCTCAGATTTAAAAGCTCTGCCACACACCACAGACCTGTTTGGTAAGGCAGAAGACCTGATTTTCCTTTGCTGCAGTTAAAAAACACCAACAGGTCTAAGGCCCTCCCACCCCCGGCCAGAACCATGACAGTGATGAGCTCATTGGTCTGTCATTGTGATCTCTTCTTACATCCGCATATTTCCTGTTAACACATGGGCCCTGCAGCACAACTGATTGGCTCTTTGCGCTGCTTCTCCTTCCTCCAGTGTGAGCTTTGACTTACGGTGGATTGCAAGAGGCTGAAACAAACTCAAATGTAGATATTTACACCACTTACATTACAAATAAACTGTATTTATTGATGAACTAATAGATACAGAGCTTCATTAATTTGTGTTTTTACATCTGCTTGGTGTTCAGCATTGAATGTGCTTTAAAGGGGGAATAACTATGTTAAAAAGAAAATGTTTAATAAAATCCCCTACAGCCTGCATCCAACAAAGTGAGCAGGCATTAAAGCATCCGGGAAATCTTTCTGGAATGTTTGACAAATGCTTTATTTGTGAACCTGATTCTAAGCTGAAGAAGATTTTGTTTAGTGGAGAGGGCAGAGTGATGTCATCAGTGTGCTGCTAATCATTGTCCAATCAGCAAGTAAGGGGTGTGTCTTGACCTAGCTATGCTGTTTAAACTCAATGGTTGTCAGGGACCTCTCTATGCCATCTGGCAGAGATGCTTGGATTACAACACTGGATAAACAGAATTCCAAATGCTGTACAGTACAGTAAGTAGTTCAGCCGTGTATTAAGCTGCTTGACTAGAGTTTAACTTTTTCATATATATTGTTTGATGTCTTGTAACGTTTGTCCTAAATTGTCCTTTAATAGTTGTCCCTCTGTAGCTTCAATCTCCAGTACATAAAGTTCACTATTCTACCACTGCATAGAGTAGCAGAGGTCGTATAACATCTTGTCATTCAAATTGCTTCAAGAGTATTGTTTTAAGGATACTCATATACTACAAGGTTCTGTAATAAAAGATCTAAACATGTTCCCAGCCTGATGGTTGTACAACTGTAGAAAATGTAAAAGGTACTAATATTGTCTTGTATATTTAGGACTGGACAGTATCATGTTGGAGAGCACTGATTATAATGAGAGGCTCTGGGCATGGGAAGGATGGAGAGTGAATGCTGGCAAGAAAATGAGGAAACTCTATGAAGAATATGTTGACTTGGAGAATAAGGCTGCTGTTCTCAATGGTGAGGAATAATACAAGATGTGATTATAGTTACATTTTTTTTATAGTTTTAGATAATAGAAGGAGAGGCTTAGGACCTCTGTCATGTTTTATTGCTGTCTGTGTGCCTGCTAAGAAGATTCATCCTCCCCGTTCGCCTTGAAATCCATTGGCAGCAGGACAAAAAGCGACGGACAATCCAAAATGTTTGTCATTGCAACATGAGGTAAAGGGAAAATCTTCCAATGGAGACACTTGAGAGTAGATTTCCCCTGACGTCTGAGATTTTCTTCTCACTTCCTGTTGTATCTTCAAGACATGAAGTGTATAGAGGTCTCCCCAACTTGACATGGGTTTTACGGTTTACCCCTTCCCTGTGCTAAACAAAAAAAAACAAAACATTTTGGCTAGAGATACACATTGAGGGGCGGATTTATGAACCGTTCACACAGGTCTTTGCTGTGCGTATGAGATTTGCAGCGAGATCCTATGCTTCGGCCCCATCTAGAGGCCATACAGTGCTGCAAGTCTCACTTGCACAGCGAAGAGCTGTGCAAGCGATTTATAAATCAGCACCTAGGTGTGTTCAATAAATAATGAAAATGCTGATCTTCTGCTTCGCCTTTCATTTTAGTTTTCAGCATAGTAAATATTATTCTGTATAATTTATGCAATTGTTTCCTATAAAAAATATCTCCGCTTACATAAAGGACATGTGTTCATATAGGACATGTGTTCATAAAAATGAGATCTCAGAAGTTATCCTGATTCTAAAAAATGGTTTTAGACTTCAGATCCTGTAAGTCTATATTTTTCAGCCTGCTAAGCATATAAGGTGGTATAAATCAATGTGAAAACAGTCAGACAATATGCATACAGATAAGGATAATAAGCAGCAGGGGACAGGTCTGTGTGCAAATGATAAAAGAAGAGGGGTTACATATTGTAAGGAAAATCTAGTTCTTATCATATCAGTTGATGCTTATTTATCATGTTTCAGGATATCAGGATTATGGAGATTACTGGAGAGGAAACTATGAAACTCTGGCTACAGACAAATATAAATACAGCCGAGATGATCTAATATTAGATGTGGAGACAACTTTTCAACAGGTAATTGTACAGATAATGGCTAAATCCAGCACTTTTAGTGACCTGCACAAGATTTCTAATTTCATTGTTCCCCCCAACACATTCCTGCTGGCAGTACCCATTGGCATGAGATCATCTGTCTTCTCATGCCTACAGGCATGTTCAGTGGTGTATGGTTCTACCTAATAAAAATTATTATGCAGAGGAAAACAAGGAAGCTCAGAAGAAGTTAGTAAGCTAGCTGCAAGTGCAATCCAGCTCCAGCACTTTCAAGGGGAGGAGGACTGCACAATGATCTCTAAGCAGCTGATTTTACCTCCTTTATCTGATCACTGTAGTTTTCTACTAAAGCTTGTGTATGACTGATGTTTGCGCTATGTTTTTTGGGGTTTTTTCCCACTTACCTTCGGTGCGGGAGAGCAGCGGCGAGTCAGCGCTGGTCCGGTGGGAGGAGCTCCAGGTGGGGTCCTAACTTAGCTGGCCGGCGACTGCCAGAGGTGCCGCGCGTGTCGGGATCCTCTGGCAGTCGCCGACCAGCTAAATTAGGACCCCACCTGGAGCTCCTCCCACTGGACCAGCACTGACTCGCCGCTGCTCTCCCGCACCGAAGGTAAGTGAAAAAAAAACATAGCGCAAACATCGGGGCATTTTGACAAGTACAAGTACTTGTCAAAATGCCCTGTTTTTTCCTCCCTCACCCTGCAGCGCCCTCAGGCGGCCGCCTGACTTGCCTTGCGGTAGCGCCGGGCCTGCTTTAGAGAAAGATTCATCCCCACAGCCCCTTCTCCCCTGGGCTCTGGTTGTCTAAGGACCACTGAGGTCATTATGTCTTATGCATAAGATGTGAGCACCCTGAGTGACGTTCCATAGCTGGAGCAGATGGCGAGAGAGGTGCAAGCTGACTGCCTTGGGACTGCCTTCTGACTGGGACTGAGTCAGAATCTCAGTCTAGGATTTAGGGGGTAACATTGCATGATGCTTGAATAAATATGGTTCTAGCCATTTAGACAGAAAAGAAGATGAAGGCATTGTCAGAGGCAATTCTGTGATCTCTGTGAGAAGTAATAAATACATGGAAGTGTTACACTTATACACTACTTAGCATGCAGAGCCCAAAATTAGCTGTCTTTGCCAGCACAGCCCCAATGCAAGACAAGGCAATTTACATTGTCACGGATGGGCACAATTCCCATCCGTGACAATGACCCATCACTTTTTTTTTTAGCTCAAAATCAGGACTCTCACATCACAAGGAGAATAGCTGTGATGTATTATATACTAAATAAAGAAGTGCTCTGGACAAAGGGTCAACTGCAAGGGTTAACTGCTCTGTTAGTCTAGGGAGGAAAATAACCAAGTTATACTCACCCGATTCTCCGAGCCCACCCTGCCTTTTCCAAGCTCATTCCTGCCTGTACTCTCCTCTGCTGCAGCGATGGTATGTCACTCAGTGTGCTCATGTCCTATACACACTGTGTATAGAACATGATGACCCAAGGACCTCAGACCGTTGCAGTGGAAGAGGAGCGAGGCTGGAAGGATCGGTTTAAGCAGGGCAGCCATCCGAAATTTTGGGGCCCCTTATACAGCTTTACGCGATGGACTAGGGGCTGAGTAACACGCTGGACTCGGAGCTTAGTAACAAGCTGGTCTCAGGACCCAACTGAGACCCTACGCAGCCCACCTGAGAGTGACCCTGCACAGCCCATCTGAGACTCTCTATGATGAGCTTTGCAGGGGTCTCAGGTGGGCTGGTCGGGGGCGCATCTCCCTCCCAGCTCCTCTTGCCTGCTTCTGCTGCTGGGGCCTGGCCTCCTCTGCCACCGGACCGGACGGAAATTAAGTGACGTGATGTCACATCCTGCCGGTCCAAAGATCAGAACACCGCAGGCGCTGCTGGGGCCCCAGCCTCCTCTGAAGCCGCTGGATTGGAGCTGCCAGGGCCTGGCCACCTCCAACAATGCAGGGGCCCGGCCGCCTCCATGTCTTCCCCTGTCACCTGTATGGCCATCGGCCGACACCCATGTAAGGGTCCCGGGTCCCCCAGGCTGCTCGGGCCCCTCACATGAGTATCGGCCGTACCTCCCTGATGGCAGCCCTGGGTTTAAGAGCAAGCTGGCTCACGGGATAAGGTGAGTATAACGTTTTTATTTCCAAAATGAGCAGTTAGCCCTTGCAGTGGTAGCCCCACTGCAAAGGTTATTCAACATTTTGCCCGGAGTTCTTCTTTAAGCAATAAATGGAATATGAAATATTGTGTATTGTATAGTGATGGTTATTTATTATCAGTTTAAAGTCACAGGAAAAGATGGCATTAGATAGGCATTGTACTTACCTCCACCTTCCTATTATAGCAGTTATTCATGTCTAAATAGGAGTGCACAGTCCAATAGGCATTGCAATTAGATCTACTGCACTTAGTTATAAGCTGTCAGTAACTGAGCTGATCTGACACGTCCCCTCCCCTTCTCAGCAATACAAGTCTGTGTGCTGAGGGTTGTGGCTGTTACTCAGCTATGCCAGCACAGAACACTGCAGTGTATAAAAACAGTCAGAAATCATAACATCCAGGAATGCATTTTATGTAATCAAAACTGACTGTGGAATTATCGGCATAAAGTAGTACTAAAGTACTAAAGGCTCTGCGTTTTTTACATTAATAATACATTCTCTGCATTACGGTAAAAAATGCCCAGTACCTTTTTGACTGCCCCGTCCCCCCACATTTACCTGTCACCGCCGCTGATCCCCGAAGCAATCCTCTGGCCCAAACTGCCTTGTTGCGGGGGAGGATGCTGAGGGCAGAGGAACCATAAGCTCCTTCTGCGCCAGTCGAACTGTTGGGCGGAGAGGAGGGGCGTGGCAGGCCGCAGGGCTGTGTGTGTTTTTGGACAACTACTGCAGGCACGACTGGGAACGCATGCGCACGGTTGCCTCCACAGCAGCTGCTTAGCTGCTGGTGGCACCCGTGCAGATGGCGGTGGAAGAGAGGTTGTGGGGACCATTAGAAAACAAGGAATTGAGAAATGTAAAAAAAAAAAAGATCTGCAATAAAGACAGCCTCCCAGTGATAACAATTAAAGGAAAAAAAAACGAAAGCTTTAATATCACTTTAATGTTGTGGCTAGATAAAATGTAGGCATTATATGACAAGGTCTTATGATCAGCTCTAAAATCTCTTGTAACAGTAGCACAATGTTATTTATTTATGTTTGAAACAAAATGCTGAGACTGAATGACAGATTGTATCATTTGCTGTGGTTTCAGATCCTGCCACTGTACAAGGAGCTCCATGCTTATGTAAGAGGCCATCTGCAAAAGCATTATGGAGCTCAGTACATAAGTTCTACAGGAGGTCTACCTGCACATTTACTAGGTACATAATTCTTCTTGTTCTTCTGTGTTATTTATGTACAACTTATATTGATACAATTCTGGTAATAAGACATCAAAATCACACTAACATAATATTATGTCATCGTAGGTGACATGTGGGGCAGATTTTGGACGAATCTCTACCCTCTAACAGTCCCGTATCCAGACAAAGAAAGCATTGATGTGACTCCTACGATGGTCAGCCAGGTAACTGTAACATAACTGTAGATGGCGCTAATGTTTGTTAAATTCAATCTGCTTAATGTATATCATTTTTTCAATCTATGTTAAAAGGTATGTATAGCCACTTTGTTTTTTTGTATTTGACAGAGAATGGAATGTTTAAAACCCGTATTAGGTTATTTTTGCTGTGTCCCGCTGGGGAGATTTCCCTTTACTTCCTGTCATGGAAATGCAACAGACAATTAGAGGTAATCTCCCAAACGTGAGAGGGATTCCCACATTAGACAGTTGTCACCAAACAGCTGTCCCCTTTGGACAATTTACCCTCACCTCTTGCTCTGGTGACAACGCTGACATTTTCTATTTCCCCTGGTGAATCTCCCCAGTAGGGACATACTGTAGATAGCAGTACAAATTTGACAGGTTTTCTATCCTCCCCCAATACAAAACTAAAACAAAACATTTGCCTTTACATACCAAGTAATATTTTAGACACATGATTTCTTTACATATAAATGCATTATGTGGAGGGTATCAAATTTTTTGCCATTATTACGAGCCTTAGTGATTCTCTCCAGTACAAATGGTCTATGGGGACTGGACATTTGCTCATTGATTGTTCCTTGTATAAACTACATGGGGGTAACCTTGCATGATGCTTGAATAAATATGGTTCTGGCCATTTGGACAGAAAGGAAGATGAAGGCATTGCTACTACTTGTTAGAGCCCCTGTCAGATTTCTATTGCTATGTGAGTCCCTATTGTGGAGATTTACCTTCATATCCTATCAGGACAAGAATAGATGGGGAATCTCCCCGACGAGGACAGAAACCACGGAGGGGAAAAAAAAACATTTTTAGCAAACTGAGCAGAAATTAGAACTTCTGCCAATGTTTTTCTTGCTATCCCTCCATTCCTGCCACAACCACTCCCCGCATTTCTTATACGGGTGCCACAAATATCCCAATGGGATCACAGACAGAAAACAAAAACATTGTCTGGAGTTGAGGTTTAAACAAGAAAAGTATATAAAAATTGTAGCAGTATGGAGGATGGAAGAGTTGGTGAAGATGTATCTGGAAACACTAGAGTTAGAAATTCTCTGGAGGGCTCACTGACACACATATCAAAAAAATTATTAATTTCATTATATTTTTTGTTAATATGTACAGTGCTTGATAATACCTACCATTATTTTTTTTTAAATTATCTTAGGGATGGACAGTGGACAAAATGTTTAAGGAGGCTGAGAATTTTTTCAAATCTGTTAACCTCTTTGCTCTAAATGCCAATTTCTGGAATAAATCTATGCTGGTGGAGCCTACTGATGGAAGAAAAGCTGTATGCCACCCAACAGCCTGGGATCTGGGACTGGATGATTTTAGGTACTGTACTATGATTTTTTAATCACTTATACATCTGAAGATCAGGCCATGTTCATGGCAGTGGGTGATCTGATCCAGATTTGGTGTACCACATTTATTCCACTATAGGGTGTCTTGTGCCTAGGTCAGTACCATCTGGACGCCACATACCAAATTAGCATGTCCAAAAACTTCACAAAGGGATTTTTGAGGCGTCAGTATGTCACACATAAAGCAATAAACATGTAAAGGTCTACAATAGGGGTGTTCAGATACCAAGGTCTCGTACTCAGTACAAGTACAAGTGCTGATACTTTTCCAGCTCCAAGGCTAAACTAGAGAAAAACTCAAAAGTTAGGAAGCAGAAGTTATTTTTAAAGAGGATTGGCTACGGGGCTCTTGGGATTTGTGCATCCCTGTTTTAATGTATAATTTGTCAGAAGACTATTTCTCAGAGAACCAATGTTTATAGACGAGATGTTGGTAATGACTGTTACGTCATTAGAATAATATTTCTAATTAAATACATATAAGTGCACACAAATCTTAAACAATTTATTAACACATCATACAAAGTAATGGGACACTTACATTCAAATTGTGCATGTGAATAACCATACACACAGGGCCGGATTTACTCTCTCTGCTGCCCCAAGGCCGGGTTCCTCAATGTGTCCCCCTACCCGCCAAACCCTCCCCCTAATGAAGAATGGCAACCAGATGGCAGGGGCAACAGGGTTGGTTTTAGTTTATTTTTTATTAAATATTTTTTTACTTTTCTATAACTTTTTTAATTTTTATTCTTTTTTTTACTTTTTAAGATTTTTTTTTATCTTATTATGTTTTATAATTTTATTTTTATTGTTTTTTACTTTTTATCACTTTTTTATTTTAATTATTTCTTATAATTTTTTTACTTTTTATCCATTTTTTTTAACTCACTTAACTTTATTGCTATCACATAGGAGCTAACAAGCCCCTCTGTGATAGCATTTGGAGGTGACAGGTTCTCTTTCACCTTTGAACCTGTCACCTCCAAAACAGGAGTTCTAGCACAGTACTGTGCTGGAACTCCTGTGACAGCTGAGATGGGAAGGCTGCGAATGAAGCTCTCTCTTCTCAGTGTTTACACGGAGCAGAGCAGAGAACTGCTCCCCGCTCTTCATCGTGAATGAATGTGCTGTAGTCTCAGTGCCCCCAAAAACCATGGCAGGAAGGGAGGAGGCCAGCTGGGAGAGGCAGCCAGGTGAATTAGGGGCGGACCCAGACCATAGAAGGGGCGGCGGGTGGGACGGAGCTGCACACATATTACAAGTGATCTCAGCAACATCGCTGGGATCACTTGTACTAAAAATACCAGCTTCCCAGCTGTACTTTTAGCCCTGCTTGCCCGAAGTAGGGCAAAATGTAAAAATAAAAAATACCTGCCTGGTGGCTGTGCTGCCCCTCTATTCCCTGCTGCCCCAAGGCCAGGTCCCTGTGGCCTTGTGGGAAATCCGGCCCTGCATACACAGGCAAAATTGTTCCCCCGTGGTGGGGGGGCTGTGTGGGATACAGCAGAACAGAAGCGATGGACCCCCCAAATGCACCCTTAAATACAGGTTTTAGAAAAAGGTAAATTACATTGATATTAAAGTCAAAAGGTTTTCAACTTTTTGAAATGCTGCTTAAATCACTTACAACGGATGCTGCTCTTTGTTGATTAAAAGTTTTAGTTTCCTTCAGAATCAACTGGTCCCCTGAACAATGGCCCTGATATTCTGATTTAGGGTGGCTCCTTTCCCTTGTAGGGTCTTATGGAGCCACCCTTGTGTGCGCTAATTAGTTGGGTGTGTTTCCACAAACACAGATAGAGCTAGTACACAAACACAGATCCAAACTAGTAACATGGACAGCTGCAGTAGACTGCTCTGTTCCTTCTGATCTTGTACTCAACAGGAAGTTAAGGGAAGTAGAACTGAGAAAGTTGGAACACATGATGACTGCAGGGCTTGGGCTTAAATTTAAATAATAATTTGCTGGGCAGTGTATATTTGTTTGATCTAGATTCATTATTGAAAAAAGTTTGAGAGTTTAATACTACTTTAAGTGCCTAGAATTCGTAATTGCAAGACATGTACTATTATATGTAACACATACCTGTGGCTGATTAGATTTAATCCCAGTGATCTTTTAACTGATGTAATTATTGTAATTTATTGGTATACTCCATACAAAAATAAGAGAATGTTGTCTAAGAAGTTTGCTGAATATGTGTCACTCTTAGGGAAACAAGGATTACCAGCAATCAGAAATGGCAGTCCCAAGCTTAGTAACCTCATTCCATCCCAGTATAAAAACATTTTGATAATGGGTATTGGGTTATTTTAGCTTGGAATGGAATGAGGTTACTCGACGTGAGATTTGCATCTCTGATTGCAGGTTACTCTTTGTTCATTTAAGGGTGACGCATATTCAGCATTCTTAGAAAGGAGTCTCTTATCTTTCTAAGGAGTACAGTATAACAAGACATGACTGGGATCAAATCCAACCAAAGCAATGTGTCATAGTGTATGCCGAGCAATATTGACTTGGCCTAGTCACCTAACTTTAGGTTTGTTAGAGCCTGTATTTGAGATTGGAGGGGATCGATTTTGCCTGTGTATGGTATCACCATCGGTGAATTGTGCAAGAAAGTGATTGTCGACTTATATCACAGACTGTAAATTACTAATAGGTAGATGGTAAAAGGCACATATATGGCAATATTGAATATTTGTTCATATCAGTTATTTGCTGTACATTACATTTTCCTTACGCATTTAATGAATTTGATGGAATTATGTTTTATGTAGAACTGTAAATAAAATTCATGTTTTAGACTTTACATGTTTATTGTTTCGTGTGTCACATACGGACACCTAAAAAAATCCCATGGTTTTGTGTTTTTTATGATGTACATAAATACATAATACATTATAATGTTCATTGTAAAATTTAATGAAAGGCAGGCAGGATGGTAGCCTCCCATACAGGGCCGGCCTTAGGCCTTTAGGCGCCCTGTGCGAGAAAGCTTCACAGCGCCCCTCAGTGGCCACACCCTTTAGTGGCCACACCCACATATAAAAGTCAGCAGTGTCAGATGGTAAAAAAAGAAACCCCCTCTGCACAACCTTTTTGACTATTACCTATGTGACAAAGAACCGTCCAAAACCAGCCTATAATCCTTAAACCAGGAGTCCCCTTCTTGCAAAACTGTTGGACCTCGTGCAGTAAAACAAAGGGTGCAGTTTCACCTGGCTCCATAGGTTTAGAACGCCAATCGTGATTAGTGCTTACATTTGTTCACTAGCTATTTGCTCACATCACTGAATATAATTTTCATTCTATGTTCTTTGAGGTTCTAGTAAGGTTATCAAAATTAGGACTGACTAAATGTTACCCTGTTTTATTCACATTCACAATTCAAGGACTACAGGAGATTTAGTCTTTGTATTAATGAACAGATGGTAAGTCACTCTCACTCCAATATAGCTTCCAGTCAATCCATACAATAATTTCCATACGACATTTCGGAACCAAAGCGGTCCCTTCATCAGGCAATTTCTATTAGCCTGATGAAGGGACCGTTTTGGTTCCTAAACGTTGTATGGAAATGTTGCCCCATTTAGTCAATAAATAGATTGACTGGAAGCTATAGTGGAGTGCGAGTGACTTACCATCTGTTCATTGTTACCTGTGGAGGCGTCTGCAGTCACTGCCGCACCTGCCCTGTGTGTGGGGAATATCTTTCCGGTCAGGAGTGCGATGGGAAGTTTTGGATTTTGAATTACTCTTTGTATTATACGCGAGGGGGCTCCTGTTTAGATCTTTGAATTTTATAAGAAGATATGTACGCTACTCAAGGTGAGTTGCTAATCACAGGCTCTGCTGTAAAAAAAATCTATTGTATTGTAGTTCTACTAATAAATATGTTAAATGTTTTTCTTGCTCCAGTATGATATTCTCATAAAGTACTCCTTTTTCTGGTTTCTAATTAGAGAGCAATAACATGAATAGTATTTTTGTCTATTAGGATAAAAATGTGTACCAAGATAAATATGGAGGACTTCCTCACTGTACACCATGAGCTTGGACATATCCAGTATGACATGGCCTATCACCATCATCCTATGTTGCTGAGAGATGGTGCCAATGAAGGATTTCATGAAGCAGTGGGCGAGATCATGTCTCTATCGGCAGCTACACCTAAACACCTGAAATCACTTAATCTATTGCCACCATCATTTGTGGAAGATGCTGGTAAGTTACAAGCACAGTTTAGGACTTCTATACAGGTCTTTTTTTTTTTTTAAATCTAGCCTCCACTAGAAAAATCCCTCCACTAGTGTCTCTCCAGCTGCAGACAGCAAACAGTCTATTTTCCTCCATTTCATCAACTAACTCTGAACCCTCACTCTCTCTTTAAGGCTGGCCATACACTGATCTATTTTTTTTCTTTCAACCCGTGGGCTGAACGAAAAAAAAAATAGACCCGATTTCTCCATCAACACTAACAGCTTGTCGATCGAGGAATCCCCGCTGTTTACATTGTATTATGAAGGTGCTGCCGTCCCCTGTCAGAATATCTGACCAGAGAGGGCAGCTCATTGGCTGCCGGCTCTGATCGATCGAAGATTTTCCGACCAGCTCCTTCTATCAGCTGATCGAGGGATGCTGATCAAAAGGGTGCTGACAGCGCCACACTGTGCGAATTTTGTCGGATCCCTCAAAAAACAGTAGAAATTCGAACATTGTATTGGCAACTTTAGTCTTTACTCCATCTGGGAGGAACACATAATGACCCCCAGAGGGAGCATGCCATACTCCATTAGGATGGGGAACACCACATAGTTTTTACATGACAGCTTCTTATCTGCAGTCTCTTTCAAGAGGCCAAAAAGTTCAAACCCTGAGTGAAAAGCACTCACCTCATAGTTCTCCTTTAACGGTCACAATAAACGGTTTAAACGAAATACTATGTAAATAATTCCCAGTTTCCTCGATAATAGTGGTCTGTGCGCAAGCGCTGATGTGAAGTCGGCAAATTCGACTACGTCGGCGTTCTCAACAGGACACCGGTATCTGCGTTTAGTATCGGAGCATTTTCACGAGTATGAGTACTTGTGAAAATGCCCAGTATTGGCAGTGGTGTATCCCTACTTAAAAATATAATGCATTGCTGGAACTTGTAGTCCTGCATAGTTGATGCTATTCTGCATTGCTGTATAATCATTATGAAGAATCGCAGAATACCACCAGCTATGCAGGACTACAAGTCCCAGCAATACATTATAATAAAAATCAGCAATGCAGAATACCACCAGCTTCCCCCCTTCCCGGTCCAGACTTACGTTACCTCTCCGGCAGCACCATCTTCCACGTCTCGGTGGAAAGGGGCCGGGGCTAAGTGGTCCTCTCTCTCACACAGCAGAATGTGCTGCCTGGTGGTGCCTGCTGCACTTTCAGCTAAACAAGTGACTCCTCTCCAGCCCCACCCAATGCCCCAGCCGTACATGCTGCGGGTGGCAGAGCAGCACTATCTCAGGGGGGCCCTCTTCTTCATCGCTGGCCCCCCCAACAGGCGGAACGCCAGGGCCCAGACGCAATTGCAACCGCTGCGACCATGGTAGTTCTGCCAGTGCCCCTTGCATTCCAGAGGAAAATTCAGTACAGAGCAAAAGTTTTCTTTGAGAATTGAGCATGTTTTATGCAAACAGCAATTTTAGTTTTTTAAATATAATACAAATATAAAATAGGTTGCCAAAGTGGAAAAACACTTTAAGAAAGTTCAATTTTGCCCCATTCTCACAACAGCTGGTTAATTTGCACAGAATTAATGAACATGGAGTTTCACATAGCTATGCAATTTTTTTTTTTATTAATAGACCCCATACCCTTTTTGTGCCTGCCAAATACTTTCCAATGTCAGGGATAAGATGGAGTATTGATTTATATGGCTACATTTACATACAAACACAGCATTTGCTTTGCAGCTCTCCATCTTCTGTCCACAGAAGACAGTAGTAGGCATGAAAGCTCAATATATTGTTTTCATTAGGACCTGTTTACTCTACCGCTCTGTGCTGAGACGCACTAGAATAAAATTTCCATTTGTTTTTCAGCACATCTGCTGAGAATTAGCCAGTTCATCCTAAAAAGAACAGATGAAACAGTGACATCTGGTGGGATACATAGGCGCTGCATTTTACTAAAACAAGGGACCTAGTTATAAAGCTCTAGTAAAGGGTAATTCCACTTTTGCAAGGGAATTTTGGAAAATGGAATTATCCCATCCAATGTGGCCCCTTCTCCCCCCCACCCCCCACTATACTTACCTTTCAGCGAACGCTCCCTACCCTCCGCTGCTGATGTATTATCTGTACCCCGTACTGCCACCTAGCGCAGACCTGTGCACTGGATTTTGAATTTAATATGCAAATGGTAAGGACTCATGTGACCACAGTCTGTGGCAAACCCTCTGATCTAGACGAGCCTTAATTTTTTCTGGAATCTGTATCACATGGATAAAAGGGCACCTTATTGCCTCTGCTGAGCAATGGCATCTAGCTGTCTAATTTAATGATAGCCTGTAGAGGGTACAGATGTGTATACAGACAATAGTTTTGTAAATTATACATGTGACATCATCCCAAAATTCTCATTAGGTAAATGTTACACTAATGACTCACAGTTAATAATCACAGGACATACAGTGCGTTTTTTATATTCAACCGTTCTCGGACAGTAATTTTAAACGTAGTAATTTTTAATGTAGCTCCAATTATTTAATTTTTTTTTTATTTAATCAATGCATCACATAACAATACAATATACAGTCAGTGTGCATAGTAATATAGGTTATCAAGGCTGGTTAAATAACACAAAGGCATGCACAGTGATGTACCATTATGATGAGTCATAGTTACTGAAAATCACAATTTGCATTCCCCTGTGATTTAAAAAAAAATACATATTATAATAATACAGAAATCACAAATGCCTAAGATATATCTCCTGGGTGTTAAATAAAACGTGTGTGTGTGTGATATGACTTCCAGAAACCGAAATAAACTTCTTGCTCAGACAAGCTCTCACCATTGTGGGCACATTACCTTTTACCTACATGCTGGAGCAGTGGAGATGGCAAGTCTTCAGAGGAGAAATCCCAAAGAGCCAGTGGATGAAGAGATGGTGGGAAATGAAGTAAGCATTTGCTTATATCAGTTATAAAAGAAGACATCTTTAAATAGTTTCTCATCAGAACTGATATTTAATTTTAGCAGCAGTAATATCAAGGTGTGTTTCTTAGTTGTACAGGACATTTGTAATTGGGTCCGTATAGACATTAGTAGGCTAGTGGCTACAGCAGCAGGGTTAGTGGGGGGATACCATGAAAATGTGCACTTTGAGGCGTATTTACAAGCAATTTGCAGAACCATTCGTCCTGCAAAATTTCACGTACACCTGTTTTGCGTGAATGGAGTCAAACAGGAATGTTATTCGTATATATATTTTTTCCAGGTGGAATGTACTATCAGGAAAACACTGCTCTAGGGCCACTAGACGGAGCTGAGGAGCATAAGAAATAATGGCCAGCTCCATCTAGTGGCCATAATGCAGCATTTTCCTGATATTACATTCCACCTGGAAAGAAAATATACTAGTTACATTCATTTTTGCAGCTGTTCGCACATAATGAATATACATGCAATTTCACAGGATGACTGGCTCTGCAAATTGTTTATAAATACATAATTTAATGTGTACTTTAAATTTTAAACTTATTTCTGTCTGTGGATAAATCTAGAAGAGGATCTGGGGGAGGGAAAAAGTTTAAAGAGGAATCAAAACACTATTTGTAGCTCATGTAATGCACATCTATCATATTTTTATGTTTTGGCTCTTTATTGAGCATACGTGTAATCACATCGTGGCTCTAAACATTAGGCCTGGATGATTCCTCCAACAGCTTGCCCCATACATTCCATATGGTGTGAACTCCATTTACATATAACAGATTATATATAAGGACAAGGGCAGCATAGTATTCTGATGCAGCCCTGTCTAATGATGATGAACCCTGAAGACAAGATCCCTGAGTATGTGTCCTGGAATCCTAGATCACAGTCCACACGAGGGCCCACGTGTGTTTATTGCTACTTTAAACAGGATAACACCAGGGTGTTGCTGCCTCTATTGTATTATGTTTATATGATTCTCTTACACTTTATTTTTCTATTAGGTGGGACCTTGTTGGTGTAGTGGAGCCAGTTCACCATGACGAGACATACTGCGATCCCGCTGCTCTGTTCCACGTGGCTAATGATTATTCATTTATTAGGTATTGTATTAGAGGACTTTCAGATACACTGTATTTGCTAACATTTGGGCACCCATATCATGCTGAACAAAGAATGCATTTATAAGTTAGCCATGTTAAATAAGGAGGGTGTAAATATGAACGTGAATTCAGTCAGCAGCAATGTGACTTCCTTGAGCTTTAGGCACCATAAGATATGTGTTAATGATACAGCTTAGTAAGTAGCATTGTCTTCGTGGATGTCAGAGAGTTTGGTGGACCCTCTGTGGCACCAGTGGCTACAGCCAACTAACAGGCAGGGCAGACAGTATAGCAGTGTAAGGGTGCCCACAACCTTACGATAATCGTACGATAATCGCGGGAAATCCCGCGATCGTACGATTATCGTAAGGTGTGTGGAAGCACAGACAAGCTGAGTACAACGCACAGTCCAAACAATTTGCAGAAGTAATCCAGAGCATGAACAGTCAAAAAGAAGTCAAATGGACCCGTGATACCGAGCACGGGTGTCCCAACACCACGTGCAGGTACCTATACAGGTGCACCAAATATGTGACCACACTGCAGATACCATAACAATCTTTGTGAATAATAGTTTAATAGATATAGCAAACCACATAAACACAGGCAATCCCGACACCGCCCACAAGAAACAGATAAGAGCCACACTATATACAAACGGCAAATCAACCACAGAAGATAAAGGGGCTGGTCATAACCTGGGGAGCAGGGCAACAAGAGGAGGGCCGGGAGCCACAGATCGGGAGACCTCAGGGGTAAGGGTCAGGAATCAGGGTCCAAGGCAGAAACAGGTTACTGGAAACAGGAAACTGCTTTACAGGAAACAGGATATGGCAACAATTCAGTGACACAGGCCTAACTGCAGGGAACGGTTAAATACCCTCCTAGAGCAACACCAGGTGGCGACTAATTGCTGGAAGACACCTGCAGGTGAGCACTGTAACTGCAGGATCAGGTTCCAGCTCCACAGTGCCACCCGGAGGTGCTCTTGTCCCTGACAGGACTTAATCCAGACATGGGCAGACAGACTAACCTGTTCATCAAGCACAGATCAAATGCCCAGAAGACTACTTAAGTACTTCTGATTAGGGCAGATGTGTGCTATGGAGAACTGAACTGCAGTGCTGAGTAAAGCTGGCCATACACCTAAAGGTGCCCACACACCTTGCGATAATCGTACGATAATCAAGGGAAATCCTGCGATCATACGATTATCGCAAGGTGTGTGGAAGGCGTGCGAGCTACTGTTTCCACTTTAAGTGACTTCAAAAATAAAAATGAAGATTCACTAAAACCTTGACGTATTCTGTCATTTTTGGAGTGCTGATGACATCTGTATACAACGTTTTACTTGATACGGCGCCATCCGTAGTCATTGCGAGCACCCATTTCAGCATTGCGGTCATCAGAAGCCCGCCCCGCTGATGATTACGATCATCGCAAGTAAGATCTGCCTGTCCAAGTTAGGCAGATGGTAAATTTTTTAAATTACCTTACAACCATCGCAAGACAAAAGTAAGTTTTGCGATGGTTGTAAGGCAGGGGTGCCCACAAGGTCGATCGCGATCTACCAGTCGATCGCGTAGCGATCACTGGTAGATCACCATGTCCTCTCCTCCCGCCGCTCTCCCCAGCGGGGTTCCGGGGCGGAGGACAGAGCCGCTGTCACAGAACTAATGAAGAGCGGTGAGGAGAGAGAGAGACGCTCGGCCAAGATCTGAGAGGAGCCTCTGTACTTTCCATTTATTTAGAATAGAGGCTGCAGAAAAAGAGATTGAGGACTTTGTGTCCTCAATTTCTTTTTCTATTTTAAAAGGGAAATATCAGGGGGCTGTTTAGACCCCTAATATTTCCCCGAAGCCCCCCCAAGAGTAAAAAAAAAATTAAAATTACGGGGGAAAAAAAGAAATAATGAAAAAAAAAAATGTTGTGTTTTTCTTGCCTCAGGTGCAAAAGGAGCTGGCTACGGCTATGCCCCCGTGGTGCTCGTGCGGCTGCCGACTGAATGTGTCAGACGCTGCAGATGGAAAGGTGCAGGACACCCCATGTGCAACGTCGGCCACACGAGCACCACGGGAGGATAGGACGCCGGGACCTGTAGGGCGCACTGGAATGTAAGCCGGCCGACTCCCTGCGTTCAGGTGCGGGAGGGTATGTGGAGCTGTATTGAAGTAAATGGCATCGCCCACAGTGCGATCGCCCGCACTCGGAACGCAGGCATGTTAGTGCCTTCATTCCGGTCCAGTGCGATCTGCAAAAATAGTGCTCGCAGCATTTTTGCGGATCGCACTGGACTGGAACACAGGCACTAATGCAGGCGATCGCACTGTGGGCGAGGGGCCTGCCTGCGAACCCTGGCTGCGGTGCCATTGACCTCAATGCACCGCCACGCCCCCTCCCGCCCCTGAATGCAGGTGTTTTTTTCGTTGGTAGATCTCAATGAACTCGTCATTTGAAAAGTAGATCTCCAGACGAAAAATAGTGGGTGCCCCTGTTGTAAGGTGTGTGCCCAGCATTACAACCATCGCATGACTTTCATTGTGCGATGGTTGTAAGGTGATTAAAAGTTTGACCTACAGTAAATGCGGTCGCACGCTGCCCATACACCTTACGATTATCGTACAATCACGGGATCACCCGCGATTATCGGACGATAATCGCCAGGTGTATGGGCAGCTTAAGGCTCAGGACAGATCATGTCTGTACTTTTCAGAGCCCACTCCACTTGATTCAATTAGAACTGATTGCTGAGTAGAAACCTTAAAACATAAATTTAAATTTAGGGTAGAAACTTCAAATATAAAGCACAACAGGCAAATTTTGTTTATTGGGTCCTTCTGTCCTCCAGTCTGTCATGATTTTAAGAGCATGGCTTGGCAACTTCTCCATCAACCCTTCTCTACTTAATCCAACCCACTGACATCAGAAATCTTCTAGCAATTTATCTTAACAACTGAAAAGCTTCCCCTGTTACAGATGCCATATACATATAGAAAACTAATAGCCCTCATAATACCCCAATATTTCATATCATTATACATTGCTGCAAAAGAACTGCATTTTTTGCTATTTACATGTACATTGTTGACCTACTTGATTTGTAAACAAACACAATTCCTTGTCATGCAGGTATTATACCAGAACTATTTATCAGTTCCAGTTCCAGGATGCTCTTTGTAAGGCCGCTGGTCACAATGGTCCTCTTCATTCCTGTGACATCACTAACTCCACAGCAGCAGGGAATAAATTAAAGTGAGTGAAATGCAAGTGGATTATTTCTGTTTTCATTATATTTTCAAAAGTTAAACATGTGGAACGGGTTTAATATTAAGAGTTGTTTCCTCACAGTTTGATTAACACCAACATACTCCTGCAGGTCTATGTTAGAGCTGGGAAATTCAAAGCCCTGGACCGAAGCCCTGGAGAGCATAACAGGGGAGCTGAAGATGAATGCTGCGCCTCTACTAAGTTACTTCCAACCTTTATATGAATGGCTACAAAACAATAACAGAGCTGAAGGGAGGATAGTTGGCTGGACTAAAAGCTTGGACCCATGTAAGCTGAAAATGATTTTATATAAATCATAGTCTCCCACTTTCTTCATATGTCTAGTAGCTTCTGAGCTCTACAAATGACATAAGTGCAGATGACAATTTTTTACCTTCTGACAAATATGCCTCTGTTACATTCCACAGGTTTCCATAGACAGCAAAACATCACTTCATGCTATGTTATCATAGAGCAGTATACATTCTTAAATGGAACCTTTCCTTCCCTCAGTGACTTAAACATATTAGCACCTTGTAAGTGTGAATGGGTTGCAGAGTGTTGTACAAGGGAAACTACATCTGGAGAAGTTTATGCACATATCAACTTTCTCTGAAAAATCAAAACTTCACTTTCCAAGGACACACAGAACATAGACTTAAAGTGGACCTATACCCAGATCTTTAAAATAACAACAAACACTCTTTTAGAAATGTTTAGTAATGACAATCTACAAACACATACTTCTAGATAATTGCAGGCTTTGTATGTTGTGGATACCTTATTTCTCTTTTCTTTCCCAATCTTCTAGCAGTGGCCATTTTAACTAAGGGCAGATTACTAGATCTCCCTTTACTTACGGGATTTCTGGCAAATGTGATTAGACATGTTACCATGCACATCATCTCAGGGGAGGAAAATGCCTTTCCCTGAGATTTCATGAGATTACAGATGAGATTTCCCAGCAATGCTCTGCTAATGAGAGAGAGAGAGAGAGAGAGAGAGAGAGAGAGAGTCTTTTTAAAATGCTTATGTACCTTTATCTTTAATATTCAGCTTTTTGTGTGTTATTGGGGTAATTGACTAGCAGGTAAGAAGTCCAGGCACTCTTGTCACCTCTGTGACTTGGCAAGAATGAGAGTCATTTTGAAATGTCCATATACAGTACTTTTGATCAAACGTTAGTGAAGAAACATACTTTAGTGTCAGATATTCAGAAATCATAGTGGCACATAAAATTCCTATCCCTTCTTAGAACACAGTCTAAAATATTGCGTTTTTGTATGAATTTATATTTCCATTCCTTTTACAATTTGACATTCTTCTTCAGTGCCAAAAACTTGAAATGATTTATGCCGTGGCTTCTGGTGCAGAAATGTGCTGCTACAGGAAACATATACAAGCCCATCAAAATAGCATCTATAATTCTATTTGCAGGATATACACAGGACTGTGTGTGAACTTAGTTTTTTTTAATGGTTTTATGGGGATGTTCATATATTGCTTCATGTTTGGTTCATATTGTGGTAATAAAAGGTATACTTATCTTTTATATACAGTATGTGTGGTTACAAGTGTGGATACTGGTAGAATCTGGATGACAGAGATGTGCAGTATATTTGTTAGTGAAACTCTATAGATTTTAATACAGCATCTGTTGCGTTGTTGTTAATTTTGAATCCATGGAGGTTCATTTGTTGGTGAAGGGTCTGATCCATCTGCCCAACATAGTCCATTTAGAGGGAATTTTACATACAATATCAGATATACCACTTCTGAGGCTCTATGGTCTATAAGTACCCTTTATTCTATATTCCTGCTGTGATTCAGGGACTGGTATCCTTCCAGCACTGTGGCCCTGTCAGATTTAGACTGGGCGGTTGTCGCTATGCTCGGACATGTAGTGCCAGGAATATTTCTTGAAGTATTTCGTCTTTGTGCAGAAGAGGATGGAGTTCCTTTGTGATCTTTCTTAGAACTTTCAGGTGTTGGTTAAAGGGGACCACCAGTGGGATTTGATTCTACTTTTCAGTCTGTTAATAATGTAAAAGACTGGTTCTAGGGGTGTTAATCTGTGTGTTGGTTGTCATTGTATTACATCTCTGTTTAATTAACTCTCCCCCTTTATTAGCGGGAAAAAAAGGTATCACTTAAACTAAAAAAAATTTGCATTGATGTGTGGCTAACATGGTACAAGACACTACTACTGCTTATTTAGATTATTTAGATTACTGTAATCCATACATTTCACTTTTTGTCTTAAAAGATTCAATATGTGTGCTCACAGTTTTTATTTCTACAATTAACTTTTTTTATTCTCTGTACATGAAAGGGAATAATATGATTCACAGGTCTCTCTTTGCTGCCCATATACACCCCTAATGAGACAGGAACAAACTATGTGGATGCCCGATTCTGATAATGTAAGTTCAGGGGTGCCCATTAGGTATCATCTGGTAGATCGCAATGTCCTGTCCTGCCGCCGTGGGGCTTCTCCTCTGGATCCCCGCTGCTCTCCCCCATTTGTATGCAGCGGGGATCCGAGGAGTAGTGAAGGAACCACTGCAGCCGGCGGCGGTGGGGGGGCGGAGGAGGGAGCCTCTATCACAGAGGTAAGGCCGAGCGGTGAGGAGAGAGAGAGAGATGCTCGGCCAGGATCTGACAGCCGGCGCCTCTCTCTCTCCTCACTGCTCAGCCTTAGTTCTGTGACAGTGGTTCCCTCATCCGCTGCCCCGCAGCTGAAGTGCTTCTTTCACTTATTCACGGATCCCCCGCTGATCCAGAGAAGAAGCTGAGCTCCCGTGTGCGTGGCCAAGCGGCAGAGGATCCGATTCTCTGTGCAGGACAAACACTGGAGCGATCAGCTGATCACTCCAGTGTTTGTAAATAACTGGGGATACATAGTACTCTGTGTCCCCAGTTATGAATGAACAGGATGTTATTTACATCACTTCCTGTTCATTCATGAGTTTCTCAATGGGGAGAAGCACTCTGTACAGAGGCAGTACCCTCCCCCAGAGTAAAAAATAAATAAAAATAAAATAAGAAATAAGAAAAATAAAATAAGAAATAAGAAAAATAAAATAAGAAAAAATAAAATAAAAAATAAAAAGAAATCCTGGAGGCAGGGCGCTGGGTGACACGCCTGTTGGGGGGTGCATGGTTCTTTTTTGCCTCAGGCGCAAAAGGAGCTCGCTACGGCTATGCGTGCGGCTGCCGGCTAAATGTGTCAGACGCCGCACATGGAAAGGGGCGGGACACTTCTCCCCATGTGCAACGTCGGCCACATGAGCACCACGGGAGGACAGGACGCCGGGGCCTCTAGGACGCACTGGAATGCAAGCCGGGTGACTCCCTGCGTTCAGGGGCGGGAGGCGGTGTGGGGTTGTATTGAAGTCAATGGCACCACAGCCATGCCCCCCGCCCACAGTGCAATCAATGCAGGCACCAATGCAGGCACATTGGTGCCTGCATTCCGGTCCAGTGCGATCTGCAAAAATAGTGCTTGCAGCATTTTTGCAGATCGCACTGGACTGGAACGCAGGCACTAATGTGCCTGGGTTCCGGGTGCAGGCGATCACACTGTGGGTGAGGGGCCTGGCTGTGGGGCCATTGACTTCAATGCCCCGCCACGCCCCCTCCCACCCCTGAATGTAGGTGTTTTTTCGTTGGTAGATCTCATTGAGCTCGTCATTTGAAAAGTAGATCTCCAGACGAAAAGTTGTGGGCGCCCCCAGCGTATAAACTAGAATTTCTCTTAAAACTGAACCCCAGACACTTAAATATAGCCATCATGCAATCCATTTATGGATAAATTAACATTTTAACACCATTAGTAGCATTTTAGAAATTAGAGTTGAATCAATTTTATTGAAAAATACACAATATCACAGAATGAGAACATTTCTTGTGAGAATGTAAAATAGAAATACAATGGTCCAGTAGCGATAGCATATTTGACCCCAAACGGTCAAATAAGTATACAAGATATCGTACAGGCATGGAATCTGGATGCAAGCTAGACTGTTATCTGCAGCAATATACAAAAAAAAAAGGTGAGGGAGAATGAATTCTGAGCCCCCACCAATTCCCAATGTAAGCATATAACATATCCACATGAAAAATAAGATGAGAACAACACTGTAACCGCCATTAGCTGATTAGTAGATGGAAGTAAAGGTCCTGACAAAGAGAAAAAGGAAGACAGGACAGGGTAAGGCCGAGAGGGGCCTACCAAGTAGGAGAGCAAAGAAGAAAACAGAAATAGGCATAGAAGAAGGGGAGGGGTAGTAAAAGAGGGGGTCCAATCTGAACCTGGGAGTTTACATGCTGTATGGCAGGGGTGCCTACAAGGTCGATCGCGATCTACCAGTCGATCGCGTAGCGATCACTGAATTGACTTCAATGCACCGCCACGCCCCCTCCCGTTCCTGAATGCAGGTGTTTTTTCGTTGGTAGATCTCAATGAGCTCGTCATTTGAAAAGTAGATCTCCAGACGAAAAATAGTGGGCGCACCTGCTGTATGGTCTCATAGAGATATCAGCAGAACGGTGTTCTAAGGCAAGGTTTGGCAAGTGAATTTTAGAAATTAAATGATATTTTACCATGTAGATATTTTGTGGGATGGGAGCAGCGCTAAGGCACTATAGAGAGGTGTGTGAGATACTAAGATCTACTCACTATTTTGGAGTCTACTGCTAGTTCATGCTTCAGTTGTGCATCAGATTTACATTAAAATCATTTAATTGTGATGATATTTGATATACTGGAAAAAAACATTTAAAAAATTTTTTATTTCATAAGTTCTAGAGACAGATTTGAATTGTACCTGTGCACAAACTATGGATATTCAAGTATTCACATATTCTTAATAAGCAGTAAAAAAATTTAAATAGGCACTCACTGACCTGTCTACCTGCTTGTACTATAAAGTAATTCATCCTCAAAGATCAGAGACTGTAATGGCTAGTTTACACCACAGAGCGCTGCACCACATCGAGCATGTTTATGTGAGTTGCGCTAGTTCTTTTTGGCACACAAAAACTTAGTGCATACTCCATTTTATTTGCAGCACACCAGGATTCAAATCATATATTGCGATGTGTTGCAACAGAGGTGTGTTGTAGTCTTATTAAAAATTAATGACCCTGCAACACACCAACACGTCCATGCATGCATTGCCACACATTACGTGCACAATGCGCAAATGTGAAGGAGCCCTGAGGTCTGGCTTCCAACAGCTTATAGCAACAGCTGTTTACTTAAATCAGAAGGCTGGCATTAGAAGCCTGCCAGGCTACCATATTCCAGCTTCCATAGAAAATAAGAGGTGAGGAGCTGTGAATTCTGTGCCTCTGCTGTGAACTTTGCAGACAATTGTCTTTACAATGCCTTTACCTACAGGGGCCTACCAGGTCTTGTTTTAAAGCACTATTATCGTTTGTTTAGCTATTAAAATACTTCAATGTACATTGGGCACAGATGCACAATAATGGCCAACTCAAGTCAAATTTAATTTATTTCTTTGGGGAGGGGGTTCTGCTTTAATTTCTCATACAGGTACACAAACAAAAACACATGTTTAGTAGAGTGGGGAAGCGTTAGAATGTCCGAGAGTTTTTAGAGCAGTCTATTCCTTCCAGTTCCCAGTGATGCTGGTATTACCTGTACTGGCCATTTAGGCATATTAATGACAACAAGTTAAAAGCGTACAGTGAAAGTATGTACCCAACTGACTGGCCTGAATAGACCATAGGAGCTGGTTCAACCCCTCTATCTATAGGATATGAGGTTTACTCCTGTGTCCGGACCACATTTGGGAATGGAAAGCTATTCTTTCTTGTGTGTGTGTTCACCATGCATACAATTGATTTGGAAAAGTACTGTAAGTGCAAACTAACTAAAAACATGTTTTTCCTGTGCTTTCCAGATGTGGCAGATTCAATCAAAGTCAGGATTAGTCTGAAAGCTGGACTAGGAGGAAATGCGGTAAGGGTAGAGCTCATCTTGTTTTATCAGTTAAAAAAATAACTAGAAAAAGGCAATTTCATTTTTTTATTTATCTGGCATCCATTTAGATTTAAAATGTATGCACTTATTCTGAGGCATAAAGTGAACTTGTACTTTTCCCATACTAGGCAAGTAGCAGAGGAAGGCAGAGAAGGTAAGTAAAGATCACTGATGGTGCCCTCTATAAAGTATTTTTATTTTGCCTAGTATGGGTGAAGAACAGGTTCAGTTTGAATAAAAAAAAGAAAGAAAAATGTTTACATTGGGGGAACCCTTGAAAGAACTTTCAGGTACATAGAACCCCCACAAAAAAATATTATATCTATAGCTCTCTGTACAATACAATGATCAGTAAGTTGTACATCATTAAATTAAATTAACAAATTAGAAAATAGCTAGAACATTTTAATAGCCACAGCAGGTCATTTTTTAACACCTCCCCCAATACAAAAAAAATATTTTTTTATTAATAGTCATAAAATGAAATAAATGACAGCAATAAACAGAAAGTAAAAACTGAAGTTCCCATTACATTGGTAGTCAGTGGAGAATTGCCCACTTACATTTTTGGACAATGTAGTACTGTTGGACAAAATGCTCCCGTACATTGGTGTTCAGTTTATTGCTGCATTGTATTGATGGTCTGAGTAGAACCCCTTCCTTTAGTGATCAGCAGGTGTTGCCACCTTACATTTGTAGTTAGTGAAAATAATATACTGTTTCCTTGGCAGCCAGTGGATAGTGATGGGCCAAACAGGCCCGAGTTCGGTTCGAATTCGAGCTTTAGAACATCCAAAACGTTTAAATTCAAACTCAAACTCAATGCAAGTCAATTGGGGTAGAATTTTCAAAAACAATTGACCCCTTTAAGAGGGCTTATATGCAAGTTATTGGCCATAAAAGGTGTATGGGGATCCGGATACTGCCCTGGGAGACAGGAATCAATGAAAAAAAAAACACTTTTTTAACCACTTGAAGACCAGGTGTTTAGACCCCCTTCCTGGCCAGGCCATTTTTCAGTATTCAGCGCTGCGGTACTTTGACTGACATTTATTCCGTCATGTAACCCTGTACTGAAATGAATTTGATACCATTTTTTGGGGACAGTTAGAGCTTTCTTTTGGTGGTATTTAATCACCACTGGGGGTTTTATTTTTTACTATAATTACTGAAATTTGTTTACATTATGTTAGGAAACATTTATTATTACCCAGTAAGCGAGCGGGCATGTCTGAGCGGACGTCTAAAGACGCCCGCTCAGATCTAGAGAGCTCCCGGCCGGCCGTTTTTTTACAACAGCCGGCCGGGAGGTAGTTAAAAAATACAGTTTTTAAAGGAGCAGTGGTTTTAACATCACTTAAAGGGTAACAATAAAAATGAAAACTTCCTTTTAAATATCGTGCCTGGAGGATCCCCTGTAAAGTGGCAAATCTGTACGATGTATAGAACCTGCTGCAGGAAAACTGACATTTGTAAAATCTTAAAGCGTGCAGTTCCCCCTCCCAAACAATACCAGACCCTTTAGGTCTGGTAGGAAAGTTAGGAGGGACCAAATTTTTTTTTAAAAGCATGGGGTTCCCCCTAAAAGTCATACCAGACCCTCAAGGTCTGGTAGGGATTTTAAGGAGGAACTCCACCCCCAAAAATGGGGGGGGGGAAACGTGGGGTCCCCCTTAAAATTCCATACCAGACCCTTGATCCGAGCAAAGGCATGGCAGGCCCGGAAAGGAAGGGGGACGAGAGAGCGCCCTCCCATACCAGGCCACATGCCCTCGGCAGTGGGAATGTGCTTTTCCAGGGTCGCCCCTGGAAAAGCACTTTGTTTCCGTGCCGATGGACACAAGGGCCTCTTCCCCACAAGCCCTAGGGCGTTGGTTGTGGGGGTGCGGGCTTATTTACATCAGGGTACCCCTTTAATAAAGGGGCACCCAGATGCCACCCCCTCCTTGTGAATGAGTTAGGGGTACTTGTACCCCTACACATTCACTAAAGGGTTAAATACAATTGTCAATAAAATGTCCAGACTTTTGAAAAAATCCTTTATTTGGAAAAAACAAAAGACATGTTTTTGACAAGTCTTTTATTTAAAAAAAAACAACCCAAAAATTGATCCACACATGTAATCCAGGGTCAATCACGACGTCTGTTGTTGTCCATGATGACGACTCGACGAAATTTAAAAAAAACAATAAAAAATAAATAGAAATAATAATTTTAAAAACCCTGACGACAGCCGTCCCATTCACTCGTGACGAACACCCGCCGCATAATGGCATTTTGACAGATGGCGGTAACATATAAACATTTGGGTGGAGCTAGCAGTGAAAGCCAGCTCCGCCCAACTGTTTACAGTTGTAACAGGGTGAGCCATGATTGGCCAGAGTCATCATGACTTTGCCCAATCATGGCTCTCACTGTTCTCTGTGGTCAGGTGCAAGACTTTAGCCAATCAGGGCTAAACAGTGCCTTGTGCAGGGTGCTCGGCGGCGAACACCCTGCCGAACACCCTGACAGTTTGTGTGTTCGCTGAACACACAAACTGCTGATGTTCGAGTCGTGCTCACGTTCGAACATTGAGCCCAACCCTACCAGTGGTTAGGTCCCATTCACACCTATGCGTTGTGTAGCTCAACTGCCTAAGTGCTACAACGCTCAACAAGAGGAATTCCATTGTTTTCAACGGTCCCTGTAAACATCTGAGCATTCTGTCACTTGTAGCCTGATGCCCATAGCACGAAAAAGTACATGATCTGTTTTAGGCAGAATCAAGTACTTTGGCCCCACAGGCTTTAATAGGAGCACATGAAAATGTAACAGTTTATGGGGCCAAAAACCCTCGATTCTGCTCCTGAACTACAAGTAGTACATAAAAACGCTTAAAAAATGTGGATTCAAATGCGCAAAAAAAAAAAGCCTCTAAATTGCCTTGCTAAACTCATGCTTTGATTAGATGAAGCTCTACATTTGGTGGTGAGTGAAGTGCCCTCTTACATTGGTGGCCAGTGAGTTGAATGCCATACACAATGCCCTACACTTGGGGTGTAGAAGAAGAATGTCCTTTACCTTGATAACCAGTGGTATGAATTATATCCTTATAGACAGCTAAAAAGGTCATTGGTGTTAGTGATTATTTACCTGAGACATGAGAAGAAAGATCCCACTGCTCCCATGCCACTAGCTCTGCCAGTGACATCAGTGCTGAAACTATACAGGCTCTTCTCAACCTAATCAGTTGCGGCAGGCAAATTCCCCGTCCTCAAGCTAACCATAACAAAGGGGCAGAGAATGCTTCCGCTTCAACTGCCCCTGATTGATCCTGGGGGAAGAGGGTGTTGGTCACCATTTTGAGTTTGTGTGGGCAAACTGGGCTCTCCCCAAGCCTAAGCTCATCACTGGTGGAACCCTAGTGTGCCACAGAACCCTGGTTTAACAAAGGCTGGACTAATCTTTTTACAGTTTGTCTCTTTGCAAACTGAAAATATATATATATATATATACACACACAGGTGAAACTCGAATAATTAGAATATCGTGCAAAGTTCATTTATTTCACTAATGCAACTTAAAAGGTGAAACTAATATATGAGATAGACTCATTACATGCAAAGCAAGATAATTCAAGCTGTGATTTGTCATAATTGTGATGATGATGGCTTACAGCTCATGAAAACCCCAAGAACCCCAAATCCACAACCTCAAAAAAGTCGCAATACAATCAATAAAACAAGGATTGTACATAGAACAATATCGGACCTCTGAAAAGTACAAGCATGCATATGTACTCAGTACTTGGTTTGGGCCCCTTTTGCAGCACTTACTGCAATTACTTTTGCACGATATTCTAATTTTTCGAGTTTCACCTGTGTATATATATATAGGGATTGGTAGCAGGGTGCTTTCAGCTCCCTGGGATGAGCCCATAGTGTGAACAATTATATGTCTATGTCAGGACCGGCTGTGGACGCACGCTGTCAGAACAAATAGTGACAAGTTGCTTCACCTATAGCAGCTGCTGTTCCCATAAGGCAAGCATGCCTACCGGTACTTGGATGCCCCCAGGACTTAAACTATATGTTCTGATCAGGTGAAGCCACAGGCTGGCCAGAGGTTCTAAACCGAGGTACGGACCGAAGTAGAAAGACACTACCAGAGAGCAATCAGGGATGGGCTGGAGTCAAAGGCTGGCAGCTGGAAAGGGTAATCCGGGCACAAGCTGAGGTCAGGGCTGGCAGAAAGCAAAGCGTAATCCAGGGACAGGCCAAGGTCGGAACCGAAGACGAACGAGATTTGCAGACACAGGCTTTGCAGGGACAGCACACAGCTTGTAAAGCAAGAACTATCACAAGCACTGGGGAACAGGCTGATGATGCTTAAATAGGGCGCCACCAGCAACAAGGCCAATCCCAGAGCAGGAGGTGTGTGGTTTGATTAATTAAGCTACAGCTGATTAGACTAGTGCTGCAGCCTGTGGGACACAGAATGATTAACCCTTGCCAGTCAAGGCTGTAGCCAGCAATACAGGCTGCCTGAACTACACAATATACACAATAGGTGTAGTGTATAAAAAAGCCCCAAACAAAACAAACTTTGAAAAGAAACCCTGTCACTCAGGCTGCCAACTATACACAGGGCTGCCAACTGTCAACTACCCAGGTATAATACCTGTCTAAGCCACAAACATGCCCAACTTTAGCTGCTTTTCTTCTCTTAGCTCCTCAGACAATGAAATGTCTGCTCCCTAGACCTGAACCAAGCAGACCTTGAGCTCAGATCTGTTATACCTCCCTTGAGTCTGCTCAGCCCACGAGGAACCCTGGCTGGATTTGGGGGATCTGGAACCTGGAGGAAAAAGGAACATTGTCCAAGACTCCCCTAAATAGAGTCTTCCTCTCTCTTGATCAAATTATATGTAATTGTTATATTTCTAATATAAAATATCTTCTAACCCAACAGTATACATGGGACAGCAGTGAAATTAATTTGTTCAAATCAACAATTGCATATGCCATGTCCAAATATTTTGGGTCGAAAAAGAAGAACACAGAGATCGTATTTTCGTAAGTACTTTTCTTGATTTTTTTTTCAGTGCTTACACCTACTTTGTGTAAAGCACTTGGAGTACCGTCCTACTACAGAGGAGGGGATTGCCACAGAGAGCAGTAATACAAAACAGGAGAAGTGAGACAAATGATAAGGTAGATTTACCATTATATTCACAATGATAAGGTAGATTTACCATTATATTCACAATTCTTAGATTCCCACCTACTGCTGCTCAGATATAGTGGTCTGTCAATATAAAATATGGTGCACACCTCTTTATTGTTCTTCTGTTGTACATAGAAAAATTGCAAAATTTCAATGGCAAAAATATGAGATCTTTGCCCAACAAATGAGGTTAGGTGCCCTAGGTGCAGTGGTCTTAAATACAGAAAAACAAAAATCGTTTGTTGAATTAAAAGCTCTAGTGAAAGTCTAATTATGTTGATCTTAATCAGTTACCAACACATAATTAAAATGGGCCATAATCTTTATTGAAAAATGTGAAATCTGCGGTTATGGAAGGGTTAAGTGTTAAAGCTGCTGCGCTATAGTTTTTAACGACAATGAAATAATGAGTGTGCAGCGCTGTAGGTGTTTTATGTGTTACACATCTATTAACGTGCTAAAATCCCTACAATGGGTAAAGTGTAATCCCTTGAGCGGGCCTATTCCATGTGATACCACGATCAGGAAGTACATGCTTGGCAGACGCTGGATTTGGTGCTATGTTTGACCGGACAGTTTTTGCTGTTTTAAACTGTGAGTTTTCTATGTTTTTTTAAATAAACGTGTATACTTGCCACACCATGAGGAGTTTTTCTTTTATGATCCCACAAATGCTTGAGTGACGGGATACTGCCGGATAGAATACCTTGAATGTGGACGCATAGAATCATCTACACTGTCTATTTTCCACAAACAGTGGGGTGAGTGCGCACCCCAGAGGGGGATTCGTGGACACTTGCACAGTGGTGTTGAAATATTTCTGTCTGGGCTTCATTTTTTTCTTGTTTTTCATTTTTTTCTACTTTGGATTTTCCACATTATCATCACAATTGAACTTTATTTTGATGAACTTTATTTTGATGAACTTTATTTTTGATGAATTATCACTGACTATTGTATAGGATTTGATGAAGTTGGCTGTTATATAGCTACACAGCGGATTTTATGAGGCACTTGTTTCTTTTTAATAATTAAGGATATTGCTATGTGAAGACACTAGGATCACCTAATATTGTTTGTATTTTTATTTGTTTAAACACAATTTTTTCATATTTATATATCCCTGAAAAAGGGATTACACTTTACCCATTGTAGGGATTTTAGCACGTTAATAGATGTGTAACACATAAAACACCTACAGCGCTGCACACTCATTATTTCATAATCTTTATTGTTGTTACAAATGTATACTGGAATTTGGGCAAATAGGTATCACTGTAAAATCTGTAATATGTCGGACTATTAGGTGCTGAATTATATTTTTAAAAAGCAAATTTATTGTATATCTATGTATAAAATGTGGACATTTGGAGGTATGTTATATTTTAAGTCTAATAAACAGGGGCATTGCGAGGCCCTGGCATCTGCATTGGTCCCAGGTCTCTGGTCAAGTGTCCTGGATCTCACGCCTGGTGTTTTTCCCTCCTAAGGACTATCAGAGGGTGTCCAAAGGATTGCAGTTAAAAAGGGGAAACACTGTAATTTTTTGTGTGTTTTGTGCGTAACAAACACACTGACTTACTTGATGTCTGGTACTACAGACCAAGTAGCAGGCAGAAAGACAGTCTCTCTACCTAGGGTTCCATGCTTGAAAAGTGTCCCAGTTCCTGCGGGACAGTCAGGCAGCAGCACTCTGTGCTACAGATGTGTACTTGCTGGACGATTGACTGCAGTCCGTTTGTGGGAGGCGCAAACCGATGGCCCTAGATACAGACAGTTTTGGTCCAGGGCTGGTCCGAGACCGTTTATGTATGTAACTTCTGTTATGGTCATTTACAAACAGAGGTGCTGGCTGTTGACTTGTTCTCATACAACGTGTGCATTGGATGAAGTTTCCCCTCCAGCTGACAGAGAATCTAAGCACATGTGTAAATGAGCCCTTACAGGGATACACAAAGCGTAATGGAAGGGCTGAAAAACGTACCTCTTCTTGAAGAACTGCTGCACCAGGCTCACTCCAGGGCTACCCATGTGACCGAAAGCCTAGATATTTGGTCATCTCATCTCTCCTGGAGGAGATGTTCAGTGTTCAGACTGCCTGAATGCCAGGGGAGATACGTATTTCAGCCCTTCTATTTCTTTTTTATCTAATCATTACGCAAGACTGGTAAGACAGCTTTATGTATTAAACTTTGACCAGTGGATCACAAACATGTGTTGGATCATGAGGACAAAGAGTAAGTAAAAAAATGAAAGCTAACCTTTTATCTAGAACGTCAGCTATTCATTATGCATCTTATATTGATTTTTTTTTCTTGCAGGAATAATGATGTACACATTTCCAACCAAACTGAAAGAATCTCATTCTACTTCTATGTAACAATGCCGGGTACAGTTGGAGATGTAGTGCCAAAATCAGAAGTTGAAGCTGCTGTTCGGTAAAGCCCCTTTTTTCAATGTTTTGTTATAGATGATTTAATCTCACTGAAATAGATATTCAGTTAGATAGACAATGCACTAATTCAGGGTTATTCACAGAACGGTGAAGAGTTTGGAGAAGGCAGAAGAAGTGAACAATCTAGGACAAAATTGTCGATTTGTAAAGGGAACTGAATTGGAGAATTTTTCCAAATCGGCTATTTTGGCCTAGATTGTTCAAATCTCCTGCCTTCTCCAAACTCTTCACCCTTTTGTGAATAACCCTGATTGTGTCTTAAAATGGCTCTGCGGTCCAATGTGCACCAAAGATAGACCCAGAGAACTTCCTAATTTAATATAGCTGGTCAAACCCTCTCTCTTCCTCTGCAATACAAGTCGGTGTATATATACAGTGTGTGTGTATATATATATATATATATAATCGTGGTTTAGGAGAGTGGCTGGTTTAGGAGATCAGCTAGTTTGCATATTATGAGCTCTTTCAGTTTTTTTTCAAGAAAACCAAAACCCTTCCTTGTCTGACCCATATAATACCATAAAGCAATAAGTAAAATTCCCAGCTATTGTCATAACTATTTTGTTTCACTCTACCAGGAAACGTTTTTTTGCAGTGTCTGTAATTAAATTTTACATGGATTTTTGCAATTCTACATAAAAATGCTGTATTATTTTTTTAATGTACTTTAATTGCAGTTTGTCCAGAGGTCGAATCAACAGTGCATTCTATCTAGATGACCATTCCCTGGAGTTCTTGGGGATCCCCCCCACACTGTCACCAGCCACTGAACAGCCCTTTGAAATCTGGCTAGTGGTGTTTGGTGTTGTGGCCGGACTGTTAGTTGTAGCTCTGGTTGTCCTACTTTTCCTTGGCTATAAGGATAGAAAAAAGTAAGTTTTCAATTCATCTTTTTTCCTAGGAGTTTTCCTATGAGTTGCTCTTTTCTTAAACGATATTGCATAAAACAGATGTTTTGGTTTTGGTTGTAGTTGGACAGGACTTCTGCTGAGTCTTCAGCCCTACAAAACTCTTGCGGTGAATGGACAAATGTGCACAAACAAATGTGCACAGAAATGTGCAAAACACTTCTGTCACTCGTTTCCATTGAAGTCTATGGTGCCAAACACACTGTAATCTGCCAAAAAAACTCATGTACTTTTTCCAGCGTGCAGCATTTTGCAGCATGCGACAGAACTCTCAGAAGTAAACAGGGGCCATTGAAATGAATGGGATTTCTTGTGTTGAGAGTATTGTTCCATTTAGCTTTGAGCATCAAAATGCCTAGGTGTGAACAGGGAGTAAAGGGAATTCCACATATGGTCCAGGGGAGAGTCAACTATATAGGATAGTACGGGTGATACATCATTTGTGTGTCCTAAGCTCTAACTATTTTGCCCATGGGCACATTTAGATAATTTTAGCAGGAGCAAAATAAATCTCAGCTAACAATCTGAGCTCACCCCATTATGGTTCCTAAAGCTGTTAAGACCCAATGAGGGATGAAACACTGGCCCACAAAAACTTGGTTTGAGATTTAATTTCATTGCTGTAATGGTCTAGCTACAAGATACATTATCTCTCTCTCTCTCTCTCTCTCTCTCTCTCATCTCTCTCATATACTGTATACATATATAAGTTTATATGTTGCATGTATCTGTAGTTTATATTTACAATAGGTATAGTGGGGCTTTTGTATCTAAAAAAAAGTCCCATACCTAATCTGTTTGTAAAGAAATTGTGAACAAGCCACCACAGTAGGCTGAAAACACATACATCCTGAGTGGACAGAGAAAGAAGAACAGTTATTTTCAGCAACTTCACAAGTTATTTTCACTGTAATTTTTAACATCCACTGATATTGTGTTTTTTATTGTGTTTTTATTAAGGTGAATTATGACAATGAGTGTCCTGTTTCACCACCACAAACCTGCAACTTTGCAAGAATTTAACAAAGCTTTGCAAACATAGTTTATCCCTAAGTTCCCCATTTGCACTTTAGCATCTTGGTGCATGTATTTCAAAGTGTGGCAATGCTCAACATTAAGAATCACATTTTTTTAAGTGGTGCCAGTTCCTACCTAAACTGTGTGATGACTGAAGCTTGGAAAAGTACATGAGCTTTTTTTTATGGCAGAATGAGAGCTGGTTCACACATGGTACCCATGTCCTTAGCGCACACTATTACAAAGTGCAGTTCACTGCTGCATTGCTTTGAGATTCATTCTGAATGGAACCCTGATGGACCTCTTGGTGGGTGTGTGCTGCACTACAACACACAGTACCACAATAGCATGCATTGGATTGTGGTGCTGTGCTTTACAGTGTGTTGCAGTACAACGGATTCCCACTGGGAGGTGCGTTGGGGCGCCATTCAGTGAGGGCTTTATGGTCCAGTAGGGATAAATGTACTGAAAGTATTTTGCAGTACTAAATAACTGCTAGCTTAAAACCCAGGTCATGTATGTTGTTTCATAAGAAGACCCATTACTTGGCTTTATTTTATATTCCTATCTTATGTCACCTGTGTGTAACTCTACTTTTAAAGATTTAAAGGTACAAGTACTAATGAAGAGACAATTAGGGCTCGTAAGATGGGTTTGCTCTCTGTGATTTCTGGCTATACCTTAGCCCATCTATGGACCCTCTCATTTCCTTCCCTGTTGCCTTACAATCTTTACAGACAACTTCCAATGGCTTCTATACTGATTTACTGTACACTCTTGGTGTCCAGACATACCCTTCTTGGATATGGGAGGGTTTTCTCTTCTTCAAAAATTGTGTCTATCTGCTCTTTTCCCCATTAGGCTACAGAGTGCATGCTAATGTGTGGGCGAACCATTGCTTTATATTGAATTGTATTCTACTAACTGGTTTATACATCTAACTTTGGTTCATGTATCTTGCATGTATCAATCTCATGGTATTTAAGACTGTATTATTCTACCCACCCTGTATTCCAATATTATCTTTTCTTAATAAAAATATAAATAATATAAAGAAATGCAATAAGGAATACTAAAGGTTTCCAAAGGTTACTAAAGGTTTTTAATGTACCAGCTGAAATTCACACAGTGTGTGGGGCTGTCGGCTCCCTTTCAGCTGGCATTCCTCGATAAACTGATCGAAGGAGCCGACTGGAAAATTTTTGAACGATCAGACCCGGCAGCTTATGAGCTGCCCGCTCTGGTCAGGTATTCTGACAAGTGACGGTGGCACCTGTCAGAATACAATGTAAGCAGCGGGATTCTTCGATCGACACACTGTTTGTGTTGATGGAGGAATTGGGTCAATTTTTTTCTTTCAGCCCACAAGTTGAACAAAAAACATTGATTAGCGTATGGCCAGCCTAAGCAATTCACTAAGTGTGTGCAAAGTACATTAAACCATGCCAATTATTCAGAGGTAACCTTTTGCCCATCTGATTTCAGTTCCCTATAAATGTCTGGTGATATTTTCCTATTACTTGTTATGAGTTAATAAAAATTACAAATCATCACTATCACCACATATGTCAGAATCTTATTGAAAGACCCTGTATATCTACAAAGACAAAAACTCTAACAGGGTTATTCACAAAGTTGCCGTAGGCAGGCGAGTGAATAACCCAGCCGAAGAGAAGTGAGCCGAATGCTGTTCGGCGATTCACTTCTGGCCTGTACGGCTGATTTCAGCCATATATCAGCTAAAATCAGCCGCACACCGGCTGCCTTCGGACAGCCGAACATGCTCTGCATGTTCGCCTGAGCTGAAGTGCAGAAGGACTTCGACTCTGGATCAGCTGAGCCGAAGCTCCGGCAGCTCACTCGCTGCCATTCGCCCCTATTCTCAAAGGGGCCGAACGGCATTGAGTGAATAGCTGAATGCCGCCAAGTGGCATTCGGCTCGACTATTCTGCTCGGTACCTCCGAGGTGCCGAGCAGAATAGAAAAGAAGTGAAAAGAATGTTAAATGTAAAAAAAAGTTACAAAATGATTTTAAAAATGATAAAAAATAGGAAAATAAAAAAAAATATTTTAAAGAAAAAAAATAATTAAAAAAATCAATTGGGTGGGGCTAGCAGTGACAGTTAGCTCCGCCCAACTGTTCCCTTGCAGGTCACGGCCAATGAATAACAACTGGGCGGAGCTGCTGTGATGTCATGGCCAGCTTCGCCCAGTTGTTATTGTTTAATGACAGAACAACGTCCCCAGGTCATTTGGGACACTGATCTGTCATCACAACTGGGCAAAGTGAGCCGTGAGATCATGGCTGGCTCCGCCCAGCTGTCATTTGCGTGGAGATCAGTCGGCAACGGCCGACCGTTCTCCGCGCTTCGGTTGTCACTTTGGCTCAGTCGAGTTGTACGAGCTATTCTTAATAGCCCGTACAGCAGCCCTGACTGAACCGAAGGGCTGAGGCAGCCAAAGAGAGCCGAAGGATCAGCCGAAGCTATGGCTGTATCCTTTGGCTTCATAGTGAAAACCCCCCTAAATTTTATTTACATTTTCATCAAGTTTGTTACCCTCTAATGACATTTATCTGTATCTTAAGGCAAAAGAAAGGTAAGAAAGAACAGTCCGATGACCAAGACAGAGTTTCTGAAATTCTAGTGGAAACTACAGCAGAGAAAGATGCTTCTATTCCAGTCAACTTTTATGAACATGCCGGGGAACAAAATAAGGCCTATGAAGACGTGGAGGAGCCACAAACAGCTTTTTAAGACATGAAGAATCCTGGAAGTTGTCACTATAACATAGCTGTCAGTTATCATCATCTTTATAGTAGGACCTAAGAACAGGCAAATTACCTAAATGAGAACTTAAACTGGAGTGTTTCCCAAGTAAAAAGCACTGAATGGGACCAAGAAGCATTTAGTGACTGATTTTTTTTTCTTCTGCATCCATCACCTATGCACTTATAGTAATAAGCACCACTCAATGTCTGGAATATTCTTAATGAACAAGTGCCAAGTACAGATAGTGGTGTTTTCTCCTGATATAGAGCTTTATCCATAAGGTGACTCACTGAAGAACCGTCTGTATTTCTCCTAGAAACCAATATCTTTCTTCTTTCAACTTCTAACTTGCCGTAACAAATTGGAAATAGATGAGCTACCTGGTGCCTAAGAAGGAAATACAGTTGTTTAGCCAGACACTTCGTAGATGAGGGTCAGTTTTCCCTAAAACTGTCGCACATTGAATGTTGCAAAAAGAGACATGAAAACAATAAAAAATTTAATCCACAAAAGTGATTATCAGCCCTCCGGTTACTCAAGTCTTTCTGTTATACTCAATCACAAATCGTGGTAGTTTGTGCAGAATTCAAATTGGTTTGCAAATCTCTAATTCCAAATGAAGTCCCATGGGGCAATTTTCTAAAATAAAGTAAGGCGGAGTGAACCTGTGCCTGCTTCAAACACCTTATTGTGTTGAAAAGAATAATATATTTTTAAATTCACTTGACATGGTTGGCTGTTTGATGGGAAGACAGGTTCTCTTTACTCTCCTTCAGGTTCATTCAGACCCTGGTGTCCTGGTGTGTTGTGTTAACGCATGTTCGTTTTTTCATCTGTTAAGGTGCTTTGGTTACAGCAGCCTATTCAATTAAATCAACTCAAACTCAAAACATCCAAAAACAGACATGCACACAATGTACAGTATTGTGTTACCTTGCGTTGTGGTGTGCTGCAACACATGTGTATTGGAGCTGCATTGCCTCGAGTGCATTGTGGTGGCATTAAAAAGAAATGGCACCGCAATGTCCTAATGCACAAAGAGTGCATTGTGGTAATATGCTCATTACTGCAACACACAACACTAGAAAGTGAATGGACCCTTAACCCCCCCGATTAACTTGTTCTAGACCAGGGTGTGGCTATATGAGTCCATTGGGAATACATATAGAATCCCAAAATC